GTTTTTTTAATAAAAATCAACCCACTATAAACTGCTCATAATTAAAATTAAATCCAGTAACAACAACATGTAATGTAATATCTGAATTTTAAAAAAAAAATTGGATCGGTGCTAGTAGCGCCACACTCATATAATAAAAGAAGAAGAGAAAAAGGGCTGGCGCATGCAATGCCGTAATGGCGCTAATAACGCTGTAACGTGGGAAGTAGGAGGCTATGTGGAGACACTCCTGCAAGCTAACGAGATAAAAATATTTAAGATTTTTTTATGCAGGTAATGATTACTTGGTTAGATTTTGGTTAGTTTTTAACTAGATATAATGATTATCTTTAGTTAGATTTGTATTACTTTTATTTGGAAGAAAAGTAATCAACATGTTTGTATATATACATACATACCCACCTAACAAAGAAAGAAAGGAAAACAGTAAGGGGGTGTTTGGTTCAAGTTTTTGGAGAGGATTACCGGTAATCTTTCTTTGGTAAATGTAATTACCACGTTTGGTAGAAGGAATAAATTACGATTCCCGGATATCCAAGGATTACCGGTAATTTGATTTATAAAGAAAAGTCACTATTCAGATTACCAAAAATAATATGGTAATTCGGAATACCAATCAGAATACCAAGTAAAGGGAAAGCACAACAATAAATTTTGAGACAAAAATACTCCAATACACATAAAATCTAGACCCAATCTATCAATTACAAAAATAAAAATTGTTTGGGGTTATTTTTGTAAAATAACCTCATATTCCAAGTCATATTTCGTTCTAAACCAAATATGGAATAAGTAATTTTTACCCAATATTCCCGGTAATATTTTGGCGAACCAAACACATCTTTCGTAAGATTCCAAGTAAACTCAATTTCTACTGAATTCCCATTAATCATGATTCCCGGTCACCAAAAAATTTCTCTTGTACCAAACACACCCTAAGAGAAACCGAGAGAGAGTGAGAGAGAATAGAGAAAGGAAAATAGTGAGGAAAAAGAAGAAAAGTCGAGAGAAAAGAGAAAAGAGAAAAGAGATGAGAAAACCGAAAAAGGTGGAGAGAAAAATAAAAATGAAGGTAATATTGGGAGAAAACCTCACTCTCCTAATTTTATTTTTTTCATCTATTTTATATATAAAGTTGATATCTTGAAGTTATTTCTTTAAATGTTATAAATGTGTCATTACTCTGTCCAAATATTTTCTTATGAATCTTTTCTATTATTTTGGTTTATCTTCTATCTTTGAGTTTGTGAATTTGATGAATGTATTAATATTAGTTATGAGAATGATTGAGAATCAAGATTATGGAACTAAGAAACTACTTTGGTACCAAGTGAATATTAACGGAATATGTAATTTTTTACTGAATGATTCTAATGTGAACTGACCCACAAAGGTTTGAGATTAAAATGGTTTAGGATAAGACACGCTTTATCATGACTTGAGCTCCGTCATACAGAACTGTTCACATACAGAACTCACAAAATTTGAGCGCTCACATAATTAAGCATTAGTCATTTTAGTTAAAGACTACACGTTACTTTATATGTTTGTATACAAAAACCCACAAAGGTTTGGGTGTGTTTGTATGTAGAATCCACAAAGGTTTGTGTATGTTTGAATAAAGAATTCACAAATGTATGAACTTATATTTATTATTCATGATATTATTTTCTTATTATAAACATGTATTTTGTGATAATGATATTTTATACTAAAGTGTTTGAATTGATTATAGTTCGAAAACCTCAATATTACTGAGATTTATTTAGGGCTGGCAATATGGGCCAAGCCCGTCGGGCCAGCCCGTTTAACCCACTCAAGTTGGCGGGCTGGGTTATGAGTCCCAACCCACTAACCCAATGTAATCTGCCACGTTTACAAATGAATTAAAACGAGTTGATAGGAAAACGGGCCGGGTTGGCCCGTTGGATTACTTTTTTTAATTTTTAATTTTTTTAATAGTAAAAAAAATAGAATTACTGAAAGTTGAAATGTAAAATTAGAATTACATGGACCTATAGGGCAAAATAGGGCGGTGTAACAATAATTTTATAATTATATTTTTACATGTTAACAAAGCTAATACATTTGCCTTGCTAACGTCACCTATATTAAGCTAATACATGTTATTCATTTGCCTTGCTATATTTTATAATCAATTTCCATCCAATAACGTCACCTACCCATATAAGTTAACGTCAATTATATGTATTTATGCAGATTTTTTTGTGTTTTTATGCAAATTTTTTGTGTGTTTTTATGCAGATTTTTTTAAGTGTTTTTATGTAGAATTTTATATTTGTTATTTTATTTTATGAATTTTTTTATTTTAGGCGGGTCGGCCCGCAGCCCGCCAGCCCACTCATAAAACGGGACGGGTTGCAAAGTTCAACCCATTTTGTCAAAACGGGGCGAGCTGGCCCAATCCATTTTGGGCGGGCCAGCCCATATTGCCAGCCCTAGATTTATCTCACGTGTGTTTGTTTATATGCTAACCTTTCTAGAGAATAAACATGTCAGTATGTGTATTATTGGAGTAGGGTATAACACTATGGTTAAAGACTTTAAAGACTTTACGGAGATCAATGGAGTGATTGATGAAATTCTATTTTTTGTGAGTTTAGATATTATGTAATATAGCCATTTTCAAATGAAATAGTGAATCAATTTATGTCTCATGTATAATTAAATTTTAAGTATATTCTATTTAAGATATAATTTAAGAAGTAATTTATTTTTATTATTACGCTACACTTAATATTATGCAATGTTAACATATCCATACATAACAGGGTGTTACATACAACTTATTAAATGAGTTTTAAAGAAACAAAAGGAATGAGTTTTAAAACCTCAATGAGAAATAAACCAATATATTACATCGAAGAGAATGCAAGTCAAAGAATGAAAATTTAAGTGATTCCACAATTAATTTTTATCATATACACATATATACATTCATTTATATCTTTTTTTAATTTACTATCTATAGGTTTTCATGTCGAATGCTTGACAATTTCAAAATCCTTTCTAAACATTTCACAACACTTAAGATTGTTCAAATTATATGTAATTTTTTTTAATTATTTATTATATATGACACAAGATAACCTGAATGAAGTTGTCTAGAATCCTTTACTGGGAAATATATTTCTCTCGGGTATATCATTAGTTAAATTTCCTAGTTAATTATATTTCAAGAATATATCTCACTCTTCGGAACTTCTTATTTATAATGCTATTTAATTAGTCCAACACGAATTGGGTTGGGCCTAATCACACAAAGTTGAAGTGAGAGGATATTGATGAAGAGAAGGAAAGATGTGTGTATTGTTGTCGAGATGCTAGAATGCTTAGCGAGATGGAGGAATGCTTTGCGAGATGGTTGGACAACACTTTGCATATCTGAGTAGTTTGAGATCGACTGAGAGTATCTGCAAAGACACTCTGATGCTCAAGTCAGTTCAATATTCAAGGAGTTTTAAGTATTCAAAGAGAGATATCATAGCTAGGCTAAAAATCTCTTTTATTTATAGTGCTTGAGCGCCTTTATTTCTCAACATCTTTCATAGGATGGTGTTCACATTTATTGGTGGAGGGGTGGTCTCTCTCAGGCTATTCCTTGGTGGGCAAGCCTATTTTCAATAATAGATTTTGTATATATGGAGGCAAGTTGGAGCTGCCATTCGTTCACTGGTTCCTGGTAGTAGCCAACTTACTTGAGCTGCTGATCTCGACAATAATAATTCTATTCAGGTTAAGTCACGTTTGGCTTGCTAACCAAGTTAGCGAGATCCCATGTTTTCTACACATGATAGTTTGCCTTGGTGTCTAAGTCACTAGAGTTTTTGGGTTTTTATGGGATTGAGCCTTTATCTTACGTGTAGTAAGTCCAGATGGCTATTTTTTGTAAGCTTCTCATCTTTTTAATCTTGAGCTTTTACCTAAGTGGGTGTAAGGGAGATAGCTCCCACAATCAGAACAAAACTGCTAGTGAAGCAAACCAAAATGACCAAGAAGATATAACTTTTGAGAATACTGAATGACTTACGTAAGAAGATCATAAATTTAAGAAGAAAGATTAGCTTCGAGCCTGTTTGGATCATCTTTTTTTTAAGGTAGAAGAAGCTACTTTTAAGTTAAAGCTAAAAAAAGAAGCTAAAAGTTGTTTGGTGATTACATAATTTTTTTTTGCTTAAAAGCACACATTTCAAGAAAAGTTTCTTTCTATCTTTATGACTCTTCATTTAAAAAAAAAAACACAATTCAAGAAAAGCTGATAAGAGCTTAAAAAAAATCCTTCTATGAGCTTTAGGCTTTTTTGTTCATTATAAAAGCTTTTCTTAAAATCTATTTGGCCTAACTTCTGTTTATAAGGATAAGATAAAATAAAATTAAGAGGATCCAAGCAGACACTTATATATTAAGGGTCTTTTTAATTTTAGTAAAATTAAAACATTAATATTAAAAAATTTGATTTGGAAATAACATCTACTTAAAAAAATTAACCATGGATCCTCGTATCTCAAAATTTTCAATTGAATTGAATAGGTTAAGTTCTTATTAAAACTTATGAATATTTATAAAAAAAGACAAATACAAAATATAATGTAAAATTTTAAGCAATAAAATATAAAGTTAGATATCTAAGCTGAAGTTTGATAGTGAGATTAAACAATGAATTTAATATTTCTCCAACCTCAAATTAATGTCGTTGTGGGATAAATGGAGATAAATTATATCTAACTTCGTTCAATAAAGGCTTCTTTAAAAAAAAAATTGGTAGAATGGGCCTAAAGGTGAGAGAGGGGTATCATCAGAAGCTTCAAACAAAAAAATTTCATTGGGCTATGTTGTCTGTCTCAACAACGTTGTTTCTTACAAAAATTAACGAACATGTTTTTTTTGGCCCAGTTTTATGGAATCTTATTATAATCGAGCACCGAAACCGAATATTTTGCTTTAGCAAACTATTTTTTTTCTTTTGTTCCATTCAAACAATTCCATTTGTCCTGCGAATGAGGAACCAGAAGAAGCGGTGAGAGAGTGATAGAGAGAGAGAGAGAAGAGAAGAGAGAAGAGAGAGAGAGAGAGAGAGAGAGAAATGGGTAGTTATGAAGCGGTGGTGGGTGAGAAGCATCATGCGGCGGCGAAGTGGGTGGCGACGTGCATGGTTGGAGGTGTGATTGTTGGCGTGTCACTGTTGGGTTTGTACTCAGGGTCAGGGGGTCCTCTGGGATTGTGGAAGAGTAAAAGGAAAAACAAGAAACCAATTCGTGTTTACATGGATGGATGCTTTGACATGATGCATTATGGTCATTGCAATGCTTTGCGTCAAGCTCGTGCCCTTGGTGACCAGTTGGTTGTTGGTGTTGTTAGCGATGCTGAAATCATTGCTAATAAGGGTCCTCCTGTAACCCCTCTTCATGAAAGGTTTCAACTTTCAACTTTCAATTCATTTCCCATAACCCCCCTTTTCTCTTTTAAAATCAAATTCACCTCTTTTTGTTTGTTTTTTGCTGTTATGGCAAAAACTTTTGTGTTTATCGACTTGGTGATCTTCCATTAAGCAATTACGGCATTGTTTTGAATACCCTTTGTTTAATTTTTATTTGGTTTCATCTTTGAATTGATTGTGCTTACATGCCATTTTTGTGTCTTTTTTTTTTTTGTATTTGAATAAATCGGAGATTTATTGTTTCTTTTGATCTTATTCATTTTGCAGTGTGATAATTTTTTTTTTATTTAGTAAAGATTCCATTTTTACTTTTTCTATTTTTTGATCCCTTTATTTATTTTGATGTGGTTACTTTGTTTGTTTGTTTGTTTGGCTTTTTGTTTTTGAGATGTTGATTTGGTGATATGTGTTTAGGTTGGTGATGGTGAATGCTGTGAAGTGGGTTGATGAGGTTATTAATGAAGCTCCCTATGCTATAACTGAGGAATTCATGAAGAAGCTTTTTGATGAGTACAAGATAGATTACATTATTCATGGGGATGATCCTTGTGTTCTTCCGGATGGAACTGATGCTTATGCTCATGCCAAAAAGGCTGGCCGTTATAAACAAATAAAGCGCACTGAAGGAGTTTCCAGCACGGATATTGTTGGTTAGAATTATATTGTTATGCTTACTTTCGTATGTTATAACATTTCTCTTTGGTGTTGGTTCAATTAGGCAGGTTGTTTGACTTTTTTTCTATAGAGTTTTTATGAAATATTGAATTGAAGTCCTTTGGTGTGTTTGGTTGGAGTGGAATGCTCTCATCTTTGTTTATGGCTTCTCTCTCATGGCTGTTTCAAGGGAATTGCTAGTCTAAATATATATGTATAGAGGGTGGCCAGCATTACTATATTTATTATTGTTTATGTTCTATGTCATATCCTTTTTTTTTTTTTGGGGAGGGGCAGGGGGGGGGGGGGGGGGGGGCGGAGGAGGATATCTTATCCTCCCCATAACTGTACTTTCCCCCTTTTCTCTCTAATGAAAATTTTACTTTTTTATATAAAAAATATTAAATGGATCTTAGTTTAACCTATGTTTTATTTGTTAGATTATCGTACTTCTAGATCATTTTTTCACTTCACTTAGGTTACTTTGGTGGTGAAGCTTAATTTGGAATTTTGGTGAATGGGTGAAACTTTTTGTTTTCAGATTGACGATTTCTGAGCCCATCAATTAACTAAATTTCTTAGAAGACCTTTCAGGCCTTACCTTTTCTTCTGACTATTCTCCTTTCTCCTTATTATTCTGTGGACTTTGGTTCTGTCCACCCAAGCTTGATAATGAAACCTTGGGCCTTTCTCACTCAACTTGCAATGGTTGTTGTTGATTGTTCCATTCTTAGATAGTGCTTTGTGTTGTTTGGTTTAATGTTTGCTCCCTGCAAGCATATATTTGATCTTTAGCTTGTGTCTACGTTTTCCCTTTGAGGTTATATTTCTTTATGAGAGAATTGCTTCATAACACTTGTACAAATGTGTAACTAGTTATATAATAATTTCATGCCCAGGTCGAATGCTTCTCTGTGTAAGAGAAAGGTCTGTTACTGAAAATAGTAATCATGCTTCTTTACAAAGACAGTTCAGCAGCAATGGCCATAGTCAGAAGTTTGAAGATGGTGTATCTGCAAATGGAACTCGAATATCTCATTTTCTGCCTACATCTCGTAGAATTGTTCAGTTCTCAAATGGGAGGGTATGTTTATGTAAAATCGTCATGCTGATTTCTGACTGCATATAAGCTTGTTTTCAACTTCCTTACCTCCTATATTTTTTCGCATCATTTAGTTTTTGTGATGCTTGAATCACGAATGTTTAACATCATGATATTGGTTTATAGGAATGAGTCTTTGAGCATTTACTATTGATGAATGCATTATTGTTTGCTTATTTTCTTCTCAACTGGATCACGTTTGATTATTTAACTTGGCTTGTATTGCTAGTTGTTTATCGTGACTTGGGGTTTGGAAGAGCCAGCTTTATTTTTAATAGAAAATCAACTGACAGGGAAGCCTGAGTCCTAGGAAATATAAAAGATTTTACCATGTAAGTAGGGCTGGTTGTTGGTAGCTAATAATAATAGGTGTTAATTGGCTATTGTTAATGGATAGTAAAGCGGATGATTCAAGGTTTAACTAAGTTCCAAGGTATACCTGTGCTACGGAGAGTTTGTTTTGAAAGGATGGCAAAAAAAGGGTTAAAAATGGGGGCAACTTGGTATCCAATAACATTGTGATTGTATTCAGCCAGAAAGGAAGAGATAAAAATGGATAGAAAACAAAATCTTGTATTATTGATGACTGATATCTGTATGGAATAAGTGAAAGCAGTACAGGAAAACAGGAAAAAAATCGTATTCCAGGGTGCATTCGAGGGGCACCTGGTCTCTCCAAAATTCTACTCACTCTATAGCCTGCCTAAGGACCTGCCCCTCTCCCCTATTTATGACATATTCCCCATATATACAGGATCACTAACTCTTCAATTTCTCTGAATGCTTGATCTCGAGCAGAAAATCTCCAAAACTCACTCAATTGTTACTTCTTCAAAAACTCTTCAGCCAAAGATCCCTCAATTAGGTTTCTTTGCTCTATTTATAAGTTGTGACATATCTTTCTCAAATCTTGGCCAAGGATTCTTCTTCAAGTGAACTTTGAAATCGTTTAAGTGCTGCACGTGACACTGGCGCCAATCGCGCTCGCGCCACTACCGCGCTACTGGCGCGGAAGATTCATGCAAAGCTGGTGCTTCTAGCGCGGCACTCGCGCTAATGGCGCGATGAAACAAGGGCTTTCTCATCTTCTGGCGCCAACAGCGCCAGTCCCGCGCTAATGGCACGGTAACTTTGTTTTTTGCCTTTTTCCTGATCTTGTAATTTGATCACTTTTCTATGTATTCTCCTTCAAAAACACAAGATTTCTAAGACAATAAGTGTGAGCATGGATTATCAACTTTATTATCAATATGAGCTCTTTTTACTTCAAAGTAGATTAAATCTTTACCCTTTTTAGCCTTAAAAACTATATATGCCGGAGGCATATCACTAACCTATAATTACGGAATCAATCACCCATTAATTGGCCCTTAAATACAGAATTGACCACCCATAATTATAGAATCAATCACTCATAAATAGACCGCATAAATACAGAATCAATTACTTATAATTATGCAATCAATCACTCATAAATACGGAATCAATCATACACTCAGTATGGGAAGGGCCTTATCCCCTATGGCTGTTCCTAGAATACACCCGTAGGGTTGGTGTGTTCCTATCATGTTACTTTGGTATTTCCCTTTAGTTCTATATTGTATGGCATCGAGTTATAAAAAGTAAACTTGGAAAACAGCAGAATGCGTGGTGTACAATAATGAACCTAGTGATCACTGCAACTGTGCAACATACTCTAGTCTCTGCCTCTCTGGAAATTCATTCTCCGGGATATGTCTCTTTCACCCTGCTGACTTTTCTTAAGCTAGGTAATGGCTCTCGTATCATATTTTGGGAATACCTTTGGGTAGGGGATTTGCAATTCTCGTAAGGTTGTTCCCCTTGAGATGTGTGTTATGTGGTTCTTGATCAGGATCAGTTCCCAATGTTCTTTTATTGTTCTACTGCCATTTTGGTGAGTGCAGGGTGTGCCTCAGGTCCTGGGACCAATTTTTGTTGACTAGCTTTAGCGATTTGGCAGAAGCAAAGAAGCTAAATTTTTATGGCCTTTTGCAATCGCTGATGCTATTTGGTGCTTTTGTTTGAATCATAATGCCTGTATGTTTAAGGACGTTTTGATGGCTGAGCAGCTGATTTGGGATAAAATTAGGCCATTGTCTTCTACATGGTGCAAGGCATGTGGTATTTTTAAAGGGGTTTACTTAACAAAATGTACATAGGGATTGGGAAGCTTTGCTCTATTGATGCTTTTCTTTTTTAATATTATAGCTATGGAGGATACATTATCATCGTAACTCCTTGTACTTTTTTTCTTTTGTCTTATTGAATTTCTTCTTTGTGTAACAACAACTGATTTTATCCCACTAGGTGGAGGGCTACCTGGGTCAAACGCAACCATTTCACTCTATCAAAAACCGAATTTTCAGAAAATCCGTTTAGATCAAGGTCTTCTATATTGGTTCTTGTACAGTTTTTTGGGACTTCCTCTACCTCTTTCAATTGGACTTGCTTTCATTTGATCCATTTTTCTCAATAGGGCTTCCTAATTTATCTTAGTCAGTCTTGAGCCTAAGTTTTGATTTGTTTACGAACTTGGCCTAATTCAAATCAACATTTCTCTGTCTTGATATGGTGCTTTTAGTGCTTTTTTATGTGGATTTCAATTGAAACGTCAGATGAAAATGATGATGGTACCTTCTCCATGAGAAAGGTGTGGGAAATTGAAAAAATTCATGTATTCAATTTCGTGAGATAAACACCCTTTTGGGTTGATGATGATAACATTTATATTTATACAGCCACAATGATAAAGAACTGCTTTAGGGCTTTAGAGTCAAATAAATGCAAAGATGATATTTTGTCCAGTATTGAAGCAAGTTTCAAAAAATATTTAGGGTAGAAGAGGATCATGAACAGACTGTAGATTTGTAGAGTCACGGTTGTGACCTTCCTGAAAAACCGAAAAAGGAAAAAGCAGTTTGGTTTTTGAACCCTGTACTGCTAGCTAGACTTGCTTGCTGTGTGAGACATGGCTGACTTATCTCACCTGTCTCCTTCATTGCACAACTTGTATTATTGATGTGAACATGTTTGGTAATCTTAAATTGATAAGAAATGACCCCTAAAGTATATGGAGTATATCAAGTTAAATTGCAAGTTTTTTTTTTTTTTTTTTTGAAGTAATTCAGGAAGATTGATTAGCTCTTTTTAGCTTGGATTTATTCTTTTCCTACGTTCTGTTTTGTTCTCTATCTTGCTTCCTCCACCTGCCGAGAGATAAGGCAGTTGCTATGGCATATCTTTTTGTATGCGTTGCTGATTTTGTCACCTCAATATTATTATGGCTGTGACTGAACCTTCATGGTTGGTTTATTTGTCCTCATTGCTTAGTATCTTTGTTATTTCTTGCTACTTAAAGATGGTGTAACATTTCCCCCCAAATAATTCTAAGAAGAAATGTGCCTTTTCTAAACAAATTTCTGTAGTTTCTACATGTCACTTGGTAATTTACTCATGACTTCTGTTCCAGGGTCCAGGACCTGATGCACGCATTGTATATATAGATGGCGCTTTTGATCTCTTTCATGCTGGACACGTGGAGGTATTTTTTACATACTTTATTACATAATTGCTTAATAATTCACTACATATCTTATAGCATGTTGGTGTTGCTTGATCATTATCTTAAAACAGCTTTTTATTCAAAAGCTCTGTCTGTAACATCTTGATTATAAGCAGTCACTTAACACAAAGCTAATCTAAACATGCATCTAGTCTGTCAAATTTTATGTCTCACAACATTGAGTGGAGGGGAGTGAGAGAGAAGAAAGGTAACTAATCATCCTTTTTTTGTTTTTTTTAGTCAATAGTTTGTTGCCATTTGGTAACTTGTTATATGTGGCAAACTGGCAATAGAAAATAAAATGTTTGGTTATTAGATGGGGGTTTACAGGGAGGGTGACCCATGCAGCAACAGTAAGGTTGTTACAAGGTCACAAGTTCTAGTTGCGGAAATACCTTCCGCTTATGGGGTATTGGAGAATATGTATTTTTACATCCTCTCATATAAATTTTTTCCTCTATGCGGCTACTACCATTAAAATTGTTTAAATGGATGTGTGGCTGGATATTGTACCTTCTATTAACTGACCTTTATGTTATATAGATCTTGAGGCTTGCTAGGGATCTTGGAGATTTTCTTCTTGTTGGAATACACACTGATCAGACGGTCAGGTTGTTAATCTTTATATCTCTTCTTTCTCCCACCTCAATTTTATTTTTTTATTTTGTTTTGTACTTGTTATCGGTGTTATCAATTGTGATTGGCGGCAAGCCAAAAATCTGCCATGTCATTATGGCGGATGGAGTTGTGGCAAATGTCATATGCATGCAAGCCATTTTTTAACATATCAAACTTATTAAAAGTATCACAAACTCTTGTTTAGATGCAATGGAAAGGAAAAAACTGAATGACAAATAAAAATACTTAAATATAATTAATGTCATAATAATGGAAGCATGAGCTATCACCTTAAATCATGTAAGCAATCCAAAAATAAAAAATAAATAAAAAAACCTGGGCAGAATAGCATTTCACAGTGGCTGGACATGCTGGCTGATTGGGTTAATGGGTGAGTGGTTTGGTTACAAATTTAATAGAAAGGAAAAACAGACATGTAATAAAGCTTCAGAATTGACAGCAAGCTTGTGTTGCTGCTTCGTTGGGTAACTTGCATCGGTTAACCCTTCTAATACAGAATTACGGTAATAATACATCAAATGCTTGTGCTAGTGGGTCACTTATACGACCCGAAGCAAAACTATGCTTTACAGTAGTAACAACTCTTTTACCTTTAATTGAAAGTAATAAATTTGTATTTAGTATAATTTCAGCATTTATTATTGTTTGTTTATATTACGTACATGGTGATTAATGTCTAAAAATTTTTATATTGTATATTTTTTTTTTCACTATGGCTTTGTAGTGCAACTAGAGGATCACACCGTCCTATCATGAATCTTCATGAAAGAAGTCTAAGTGTTTTAGCATGTCGCTACGTGGATGAGGTTATAATTGGTGCACCATGGGAGGTGTCCAAGGATATGGTTAGTCTCATTTTTTCTTATTTAATTATTTTTTTATTAATTTTGGTATACTAAGGTTCTTTCTTTTCTATTGTTATAAACATTTTTTGAGCCATTATATTTATTTATTATTATGATGATGTTGTAATACCAATATTAGTAATTAAAGAAAATTTTATTTATCCTTTATTTTATTTTGGAATTCTCAAGTTTTAAACTACATGATAATTAGCACGACAT